CAGAAAACACAGCTTCTGATAATTCTATTGTTGCGTGAATAACTGTTGCTATGCTGACGTGGCATTTACTGTGCTGTAACCTAGTAACGGACTTTCCTTCTGGTTAAATGATCTCTGTTGTCCGCGTACCTGCCACAGACAATGAACGTGGGCCACTGACAACTGCCTCGGAATCTACACGTACATATGACAAGGCGCACCAATGACTCGGCCTCCAGAGGATACATTTCATTCATTGTCAACACACAATACTCGTATAGCCACGTAGTGTATGTCAGGTGCACAACAACAGTCATCGTTAAAGTGGTATACTTGGATACATTTTCAACTTAAATTTTAAGCGCACTAACTCCACGCGGCCGATCCTTTCTGAGAAGCCATCAATCATTCAGTTATTTAAGAATATCCCAATATTTTATGAAAGCTGAAGGTCCATTACCTTGTACACAAGAAACCGTCACTGGTTCCTCTCCTAAGTCACATGAACCAAGTCCATGCCGTTTCATACTAATACTCTAAGATACATTTAAATATTATCCTTCACTTGATTTACTTAATGACCTCTCTCCTTCTGGATTTTTCAACAAAACTCTGTATGCATTCCATTTATTTCCCGTGCATTTCATCCCTTTGGCTTGATCTTTCTAATTTACGTTTGGCGTAGATTGAAAGTTATGAAGTCCCTTATTATATAGTTTTCTTCATTCTTCTATTGTTGCATCCATTTTGTGTTCAAAAATTCGCTTCAGTACTCTGTTCTCAAACACTATTTATTTGCCTGAAAATTTTCACTTTTAAACGTGTTTTAATTAATTTTTACTTTAAACATTTGTAGCTTTCAGCCACTGATTGCATATAATTGGTACTTGGCTCAAGCGGAGTACTGTACAGTGAAACAACTACGTAATAGGATATACCTGAAGATGTCAACCAACTGCCGAATTATTTTTCGTTAATAACGAGAGAAAGTGGACGAAATAGGATAGAATGGCAATAACAACTCAACCACTGAAGCATTTGCACGTGTGTAGTTTTTCAGACATCACAAACTCATTTTATTTTAAAAAACTGTGATACATATTTCATTCCTCTCTCCGCTGCCAGGTGCTTCCTGTCAGCGAAATTTTTACATAAATAGTAATTTCATACGAATCAGTATTGTAAGCAAACATATCACTCATACGTTGCGACTTCAAAAGAAATTGTGTCCATAAATTAGAATGGTCTAGTGAAGGAGGACGAGATGAGAGTGATATGTAGCGCATATGGGGCGAAGGGGAATGCGTATAGGATTTTGGTGGGAAAGCCAAAAGGTAAGATACCACTCGGAATAGCTAGAGTAAACAGGTGGAGAAAACTGTGAGATCCGCTCAAAGCCAGTAATGTGGAGAGAGTAGGAACGACCGTTGCTAGACAACGACTAATAAATCTGTTGTTCGTGGCAACAGATACACGCACGCAACAATGAGGAATTGCAGATTCTTTTGACCAACTGCTTACACCGGCGGAATCGACCTCAACGCAGACAGAACCGGAACGGCAGATGAAGAAGCGTAAGTACCTCACAGAGAATGATCACCTGAACCTCCAAGAAGCACTGCCCTTCCTGTCATCCGGGCTGAGCAGTCAGCCTCCAGTCAGCGGTGTAAAACCAAAGAGAAGGTTGAACGATTCTCTTACAGCTTGAAATGAAACCCTAAAGGAATTCTTCTCGCCAGAACTGTCACGTTCAGCGTGGCCTTTCTGTAACTTGATTGATGAAGATCTCCCAAAGTTTTATGAGTGTCATGACATCTTTCAGGAAACAATGGATTTCAGAACAGTCAATCAAAAGATGCACAATCAGGTGTATAAGACAACCAGTGAATTTGCTGCAGATGTGAAGTTAATATTCACAAACTGATACCAGCACAACCCTCCCGATCATAATGTGGTGAACATGCACGAAAGTTGCAAAACTTATTCGATATGAAGTATGCAAAAATACTCGAAGAAAATGTTGATGGAGCTGTGGGCTTAAAAAAGTCCAGCACACCTAGGACGTCAGAGTCAAATACAAGTTCGGACTGGGACAGCATACGGGTACTAGATCTTCTCCAGGAACAGCTGCAGGTCATACAGGATCAAGTTAGGAGACTGGAACAAGCAAGTACAGTTAAACTATGGAAGAAGTTGATGGAAAGGGAGAAGCAGAAGAAGAAAAATCCTGGGGAAAATTTAGGTCTTGTCAAAGAAGTGCATTCTTCCGTGGTAAGTGACACTATAGACGCTAGGTTTGCTAATGCTGCATTAGGGGCGGAGGATGTGAATTATCCGAAGAACTTTCATCACAGTGTGAGTGCTAAGCAGTCAGGAATTACTCAACTGGCGGCTCCGGCAGGTCGATGTGCTCCACCCACAGCCACAGCTGGTGTAAAATACACTAGAAACAAAAGAACTCGAGAAGTTGAAAAAAGGGCAGGGCAAAAGTCGCAAGCCAAGCAACCGAAAGCCAATTTGCCGTCACCCGGTGATAAGGTGGGCGCTGGATTTGAGAATGTTGCATTAGGGGCGGACTATGAGAATCTTCCGACGAACTTGCATCAAAATATGAGTCCTAAGCAGTCAGGAAGCGCTTATCATACGGCTCCGGCAGGTCCTCTTGCTCAACCTACAGCCACCGCCGACGTAGAACACACTAAACACAAAAGTACTCGAAAAGCTGAACAAACAGCAGGGGAAGAACTGCAAGCCAAGCGGCCGAAAGCCAATTGGCCGTCAGATTTTCCGACGAACTTGCATCAAAATATGAGTGCTAAGCAGTCAGGAATTTCTCAACTTGCGGCAGGTCCTTTTGCTCCACCAACAGCCACCGCTGGTGTAAAACAAACTAGAAACAAAAGAACTCGAGAAGCTGAACAAACTGCAAGGCAAGTAGCGCAAGCCAAACGGCCAAAACTTAATTGGCCGTCAGCTGCTGGTAAGGTGGGCGCTGGATTTGGGAATGCTGCATTAGGGGCGGAGGATGTGAATCTTCAGAAGAACTTGCAACAAAATATGCGTCCTAAGCAGTCAGGAATTGCTCAAATTGCGGCTCCAGGAGGTCCTTATGCACCACCAACTGCTGTTGCCCCAACGAACACCGGCGCAGAGAACACTAAACACAAGATACCTCGAAAAGTTGATAAAACAACAGGCCAAGAAGCGCAAGCCAAGCTGCCGAAAGCCAATTGGCCGTCAGCTGGTGGTAAGGTAGGCGCCCGATTTGAGAATGCTGCATTAGGGGCGGAGGATGTGAATTTTTCGATGAACTTGAATCGAAATATGAGTTCTAAGTAGTCAGAAGGTGCTCATCATGAGTCTCCGGCAGGTCCTTGTGCACCACCCACACCCACAACCACAGCCTGTGTAAAATACACTAAAAACAAAACTTCTCGAGAAGCTGAACAAACAGAAGGGCCAAATGTGCAAGACAAGCGGCCGAAAGCCAATTGGCCGTCAGCTGGTGGTAAGGTGGGCGCTGGAATTGGGAATGCTGCATTAGGGGCGGAGGATGTGAATCTTCCGAAGAACTTACAACAAAATATGAGTCCTAAGCAGTCAGGACGCGCTCATCATTCGGCTCCGGCAGGTTCTCTTGTCCAACCCACAGACACCGCCGGTGTAGAACACACTACTAAAAAAATAAAATAATCCGAGAAGCTGATAAACAGCAGGGCAAAAGGCGCAAGCTAAGAAGCCGAAAGTCAATTGGCCCTCAGTTGTGCTAAGTTGAACTCTATATCTGGTAATGCGAAGATGTTAAGCTTCCGCCACATTTGGGAATCCTAGTGCGTGTGCAACGGTAAACTGTAAATCAGCCATAGCGCTGTATTTAAATTAAATTGCGGCTCCGGTCTAGAAACCCGAGATTAACGGCCGTGGGGATCCGTTGCGCTGACCACGTGATACTCTTTATCCGCAAAAGTTGGCACTAATTTCGCCAACAAGCGGGTTTCGATCGGTCAGTATAGTTTGTTTGCGGACTCAAGCTACGGAGTTTGGTTTACAGTTTATGATAAGGACCAGTGCTGGACTTTTGTGAACACGGCAATGAACCTACGGATTCCATAAAATGTTGGTAAGTCCTTGAGTAGCTGAGCGACTGGCGGCGTCTCAAGAAGGACTCAGCTCCACGGAGTTAGTTTGTAGTAGAAACCCATCAAGTTCAAATACTTAATGGGCAATAGTAAAAGGGTTTGCATTTCCATGAGTGGGCCATTATTTGCCAGTAGCAGAAGGCATAAAAACCTTTAAAGGAATTTTGTTGTTGTTTAAACGTATGATGGTACTACAGTATTTTCAAATGTATGAAGTAACTATAGACGGGGTTAATATTTGTAATAGATTTTTGAACATTTACAAACCTAAACTGCAAGTAACTACAGCGCTATCGCTAATTCACACTCTGCAGATAAATATAGCAAGCACTAAGTGTTCTCAGTGTGCTGTGTCTTCATCAGTCGTTGCCTAGTGACGGATCCCAACAATACCCTCTGCTTCCGTGCTGAGTGCTGACAGTTAAACTGCTACTGGCCCTCGCCAGCAAACTGATACTTGGTTGCGATTCCCACTGGTATCATGATCTTATTTTACTACCTGACGGCTCTCCAGAAGCGTTAGCAGTAACAGATACCAGTTAACAAAGGCTGCTGGATTGCATCAGCAATGAAAGAATAACAAATACACAAGAAACTAACCGTAGAAGCATAGCTACAAACTTCATCGCCGTCATTAATAATGCAAAAACGGCGAAAAATGTTAATAATTCTATACAAGCATTATGAACAACGCAGAACACAGCCAGAGACTGATTAAAGAAGAAAATTATGTGAACTAAATTATAAAATAGGATTGATTTCGCTGAAGACCAATAGGTTGGGCAGAACTATCTAAACAACGACAACAACAACAATAAAGTAATGCAGAAAGTAAATTTAAACAACTGTAGAAACGCTACTAATAACACGCATACTATAAATTCAACCAAGTGGCCTACGACAGCGGCAGATTTCTGCAGGGATTCCCTGATGCGCTGGGTAATTCCCTTCAGCTGAAAGTGCAACGCCCCACTCCAGGTGGTGGTCACAGTAGCGGTTCTCGAGTGCACATTGCCGATCCATCTTCTCCCCTGTCTGCTTCTTAAACGCCTGGAAGCTGTTGTCCATGGTGGAACTGACAGAGAAAGTCATGGGACCAGATGTGTTTTGTGGAGATAATCCTCGGGCAAGAAAAGACCAGGAGCTGCCATTCTTCACATTATTTTTCTTGAAAGCTGATACAAAGTTACATTCTGATACGTTGGCTGAGTCTGAGGAAATTTCCTTATTCTCAGCTTGANGAACAAAGTACAGCAGAAAGTAAATTTAAACAACTGTAGAAACGCTACTAATAACACGCATATTATAACAGAAGGTAAATTCAACTAGCTCTAGAAATGTTACAAGACTGGTTGCTAGGAGTGGATAAAAAATTTATGGCACACCCGTTGACATACGAATGCCGTTATTATAAATCCTCCCTAGGAGTAGTCTTGGTTCTGTCTTGGTTGGTTGCATGACTGGATTATTGGCAGCTTTTGCGAAGACATTACTGGAATGCTATTGTGAAGTTGGCCGCCGGGCAGGCAAGGGCTTGTCAAGGCCCGGTTCTATGGGTATTTGTATCCTGTCCTTGCTGGAGGCAGTTGTGGCGATCAGGAGCATCTGTGCCAGGGTATCTCCTGGGACTGTAACCTGCTTGATGTGCTTAGGGGATATCAGGTTTGCCACTGGAACTGGAGTGTCATTGCGGAAGCTATGGTAGGTGCCGCTGTTATGATTGTGGTCTCTATACTAGTTATTACCTCAAATAAGATGGTCACCTTCATAGCGGGTTGAGCAGGCTTCTCTGCAGCTGGAATGTTCACTTTTGTTGGTATGGGGGCCGGGACAGGGGAAACAACTTTCTTGATTGCAGCCGCAGTAACTGTGACGTTTGGAGTGTTAGGCTGAGTAGGTAGAGCATGATATTTCACGCGGAACGGTTACGTTGTCATTGCTGGCTCTGTGATGGGAGCCTGCTGCTCGAATTCTGCAGGCTTGTGACCAGCAATACTTATGATGTGACATGCTGACTGCGTTGTAAATGTTGAAACAGGATCTCTGGTGCCACATAATCCTGGTGTCTTAGTCTGATGGCCCTTTTTCTTCTTCTCTTGATTGGTAGCCTCTTGTTCAACTTGCTTTCGAGTAACTGTCACAAAAACTGTAACTAGGAGTCTGTGTCCGAACTGCTGGAACTACTAGAGTCTGTGTCCGAACTGCTGGAACTACTTGAACCTCTGTCCGAACTACTAGACCTAGTAGAGTCTCTGTCTGAACTGCTGGAACTGGAGACTGAAAGGTCGGAGATGACACCAACATCCACAGACTTGCTCTTCTCTGTCGTGAGCAGTTTATTTGCCAACTCAACCTGTCCTGTCACGTCCTGCGTCCTCTTCTCCAATTCCTGCTCCTCCTTAGCTATCAGCTCATCTTCTGACGTCGATAAAAGCTTCTTGTACGGCTTACGTGGTTTCTTACTGAGACAGGATGCAACAAACGACTCCAGTTCTCGCAACGTAGACGGCTTCAGAGTTCCAATGTCAACCTCAACATCATCCTGAACAGAAT